TAGCCCCTTCCCTCCTGCCTCTCTGGAAATTTCACCCACCAGTGTCCACAATTCCTGTAGAGATAAGCCAGTTCTGTGAGTTTGGCCACACCTGACTCAATTGGGATGGGTGGAGAGAGGAGGGGGGCAGTGAGCAGCTTCGTACCAACCTTGCACCTTAAACAACAGGCTCCAGGCCAGAGCGGGCATTCATGAACCATGAAGTTTCCACTCATAAATCCATAGATGCTTCCAGCACCTGCCCTTCTGCCTGCCCCGATCCCTAGCCACCTGCCAACTAGAGGCTCAGTGTTGACAACAGCTAACAGAGACCCAGCCACGGGGATGAGGCCAGGGCCAGGACTACAGTTTCCCAGAATGCATGTGAGAGAGTGATAGCAAGCAGGCTACCTGGCAGGACACAGAGGCCAATACTCAGATGTGGAGCAAGGCAGGACACTTTCATGGTTGTGGGGGCCACTGGACTCAGCTTTGAGGTGTTTGGCCAGACTCTACACGTTACGAGTCAGGACCGTTTTACATGGAAGCGACAGAAACCAAACTCAGACCACCTTAGACAACTCCATTAGTTTCCCGAGGCTGCTGTGACAAATTATCCAACCTTGGTGGCTTTAAATGATGGAAATTTATTCTCACAGCTCTAAAGGCCAAAAGTCCAAAACCATGGTGTAAGCAGAGCTGTGCTGCCCCCCAGAGCAGAAGCTCTAGGTGAGAATCTGTTCCTGGCCTCTTCTAGCTTTGGTGGCTTGTGACCACATCACTCCTGTCTCTGCCTGTGTCTTCACAGCACCCTCTCTTCTGTGTGTCTATCTAATCTCCCCCTGCCTCTCTTTAACAAAGATGCACAAGACTGCATTTACAGCTCCCTCTGATAATCCAAGATAAGTGCCTCCTCTCAAGATCCTTAATTCAATCACATCTTTTGCCATAGAAGGTAATATTCACTCTTTTGCCTACAAATAAGGTAACATCCACAGGTTCCAGGGATTAGGGTGAGGACAAATCTTTGGAGCCACCATTCAGCCCATTACAGCAACAAAACCCTACAAAAGTCAACTGTCCCAGAGGTGGCAAGACGATGGCCTCTGCATGTCACAGGGCCTTGTCCCTCCTTTTGGCTTCTATCTCCAGAGTTGGCTAGGTCCATGCCCCAGACAGCCTCAAGGCTCCCACAGGAAATGTTCACTCTGGGAAAAAAACCAGAGAGCCAGGCTGACACGGGGGCCCTGTGACCTTTCATTTTCCCCCTGCACCCAACAAGGAAGCCTATTTTCCTTGCACGTTGTCTGATGTTAGAGGCTCCATTTGATTAAACCCCATGCCTGAGATGGAGAGAAGTACTGAAGGAAGACAGCCAGCTGCTATGGAACAATTTTGCTATTTTCCATTAAGTTCCACTCACTCTTATCTTCCCAATCTTTTGAAAGGCATATGCCTATATTTCACTCTGAGTAAAAAATGGAAGTAGTAGAGTTTAACACACTCTCACATAAAGCACATAACTTAGCATTGTGTGCGTGGGCTACCACACAATGGTGGTAAACAGAGCAAGGCAATGCTTTCACTTGACCACACACCCCTGCCCCCCACACTCTGCTCCAGGTGTCCATTCCCACACAGGTGTAGGTGGCTGAGAACATTCCTCCTTTGTGAAGTGGGAACAGGTTAGACTCTGAGCTTCGCTCTGTCCAACACCCCTCCTTTTTCCACTGGAAAACTGTGCTTCCCATTCCATGTGATCTTGGTGGGCTGACATCACTCTCCAGGCCACAAATCCTTGGAAAGAGAAGCGCCTTTCTCTGCTGAGAGTGCTAAAGGAGAGACTGTAGATACGGGGCTGCTGGTAGCATCCTTACCTACCCTGTGGTGAGAGCCTATCTGGCCTCAGAGGGGAACACAGACAAGCAGGGGTAACATCATTTGAGCCCCCGGAGACAGCTGTACCTGAAGCCCAAATTGCTCAGATGCCCCAGCCAGTTTGATCTGTGTTTGGTTCCAATCAGGAGAGTACTGGTTGAACCTGAAGGCTGGTTGACAGCTGCCCCGTGCAGTGTCTGTGGGTTTGGTATGAGTTGTTAACTACAGTCTCAGAGCCAGTGGCTCTTTTTCTGGTCAGGACAGCCCCAGGCCTGGGCTTCGGCGTGGTCTGTACCTAACCCCTGCGTCTTAGGTCGGGTTCTCCAGAAGTGAAGCCCAAGACAGGGATTCTCAGACCATGATTTATTGGAGGGAGTGCCCTCAGGGGAACCTCTAAGTGAGGAAAGCAGGAGTGGGCAGGGGAAGGAGCTAAAGTAGGATGTGGTCTCAGCTGGGATCCAGCCTCAGCCTGATCCCACAGGGAACTCTGAAGCATGACTGGCACACATAACTATCCCCCGAGGCATGCAGGCCAAGCCTCTGAACTCCTGCCTCAGTCAGTCACTGGCCACTGGCCACCTCTGGGAGCAGAGTGTAACCTTATAGGCACTTCTTCTAGAAAAGGGGTCAGCTGTGAACTGTGTTAGCAGCCAACATCCCCAGCAGCTTGTGAATGGGTTGCACTAGCCCAGAGAGTTCTGAGCAAGGCACCAAAAGCCTCCACTTCAACCTGTCTTGTGGTCCTGTTGCAGCAAAATTGTTTTCCCTCTCCTGAGAACAAGGGAAATAAAGGGAACAGTGAACAGGCTAGAGAAGAAACATAACCTGGCCTGAAAGAGTTAATCCCTCCTAGTTTTTTTTTTTTTTAACTATTACTAATCTGTAGTGTCTGTAACTAGATTTGTACTTCACAAAGCTAACCTTTTTTTTTTTTTTTTTTTGGCTGTGTTGGGTCTTCGTTGCTGTGAGCAGGGGCTGCTCTTCGTTGCCATGTGCGGGCTTCTCACTGCGGTGGCTTCTCTTGTTGTGGAGCACGGGCTCTAGGCGCACGGGCTTCAGTAGTTGTGGCACACGAGCTCAGTAGTTGTGGCACACGGGCTCAGTAGCTGTGGCTCGCAGGCTCTAGAGCACAGGCTCAGTAGTTGTGGTGCACAGGCTTAGTTGTTCCACAGCATGTGGGATCTTCCTGGACCAGGGCTCGAACCCGTGTCCCCTGAATTGGCAGGCAGATTCTTAGCCACTGCACTACCAGGGAAGTCCTAACCTATCACTCTTTAACACTATGTGAATTACATCCTGCACTCCCTTGTAGAAAATCACCCCTTGTAGCTGTCTGCATTTCAGAAAGGAGGTCACAGGCTGATAACCCAGAGACTAACAGACCCAATTACTGGGTTGTCTGACGCCAGCAGTGGCTCTTTTGAAATAATGCAAGAAGAAGAAGAATGCAAGAACTTCAGCATTTTGATCCTTATCACTCACTTCCGGACTGTGAACTCCCCCTATAAGAATCCCTGTAATTCCCCAAGGAAGGTGGGGCACAGTTTTTGAGGCGCTAGCCTACTGTGTCTTCCCTTTGCCTGGCAAAGAAAAAAGCCTATTTCTTATCTTCCAAATCTCTTTCTCCGTATTTCTATTCGGCATCGGTGCATAGGGAGACAAGGTTTGGCAACAGTCCCTGCCAAATCTCAACCAGGTTTGAGAAGGAGCAGCCCAGAGACACGTTAATTCATCAGGAGTCCCCAAGCTTTTGAGGAAGGCTTAGTACCTTGCCCCCATTGTTCTGCCCTCTCCACCCAAAACTCCTCCACAGAACTGCAATTTAACACGATGCCCTTGGCATTCTCTGGGTCCACACTGGCCACACAGTGTTTATAAAAAGCTTTATGATAAATTTCCCTCAGCTCAAGGAAAGAATTTGACTCTCCACGTGGACAGAAACAGATAAATTATGCAGAAATCAAAAAACAAAACCACCATCGCCCCTCTTTCAAGTGTCTATCAGGGCGAGGCTCTGTGGGCACTGAGGTAGGGCTTCCCTAAGTGAGAACAGCAGGTGATCCCGGGGCTCCCAGGAACACCATAAGTGGAAGTGTGTCAATCAGGGCCTATGTTTGACTGCAAATAACAGACACCTGGGGAGAAACTGGCTTAAACAAATTAGGGGTATCATTTTTCTCACATAATAAAGTCCAGAGGAAGGTAGATAGGCTGGTGAGCCACAATGTCATATGGTTCCACTTTCAAGATGGTGCCCATGCTCCCAGGCATTGCCTCCAAGTTCTGGGCAAGGGGAGGGTTGAGGCCAGAGGCTAAAGGGCCCAGTCAGCAAGTCTGTTCCTTTTTAAAGAGCTCTCCTGGAAGCCTTATCTGTGAATTTCACTCACTGGCCAGAACTGTGTCATATGAACACCCCCTAACTGCAAGGGAGGCTGGGACATGTACTGTTTATCTGATTACTAGCAGAGAAGGAAAGAATAAACAAAAGCAACCAAAGTCCCTGCCACTAGGACCTGAGAGGTGATTCAGTTCAGCATCCACAGGTGAGAAGATGATGCCTGGAGAGGTTCTGAGGCCACCCAAGTTCTTGGAGGCCAGCAGAGGCACACCCTGTGGCTGACCTTGGTCTCCAGGCTCCCAGGACACAGATCACATGAAAGCAAGGCCAGTCTCAGTACACATGGATTTATTGAGTTATGGATGCCATTCCTAGTGCCAGCTTGAACCACTGGGAAGATGGCCATATGACCAGTGCAATGTAGGGAACTGGATTCTCACTCTAGGTGGTGTCCAACAAGCAGCATATCGTGGACAGGAAACACTCTGACAACGTTAGTTATGGGGTGCAGGTGGCTATCATGATGGGTTGTGCCTAACTGGGAGGATGCCATGACGGCTGGAGAAGTAGAGGGAGTTTTGCCTACAAGTCTGTTCAGAGGGAGTTTTGCCTACAAGTCTTTTTAAGTCTACCCTTAAAGCATGATAAAAGTGTCCAGACCTGCCAAGGGCAGTAGGACAAGAGCACTGGGGCCAGCTGGGGAGGTAAGCCAGTCCCTTTTCAGTGGGGCAGCAGGTCACCAATGAGGCCCAGTATCCCAGGCAGGGTGGGACAGTTGGCTGTTGTCCAGGGTCTGCTGTCCTCATCAGAGCAGGGGCTGGAGAGCCAGAACAGGGAGCATGGAGAGCATGGAGCTCCCCTCCAGGGACGCATCTGCAGAGGACACCTTGGCAGATGAGAGCAGAGTATGAACTTGAGGCAGAAGCCTGGCTCTGCTCTCTGCCACCCCCACTATCCCAGGCCATTCACGCCTCCATCTAGGCCCAACTGGCATGGAAGGGTGGAAAGAGGCGGTGCAGGAGCTGCCACCTCACCATCCCCTCCCTGAACCTACCTGTAGGAGGCTGTGCTCAGGGTCCTGGTGGGGGTCCAGCTGGTCGTGGAGGACTGAGGGCCACCCACCGTCAAAGGCCTGTATGGCTCTATCTATGGAGGGAGGGGTGCAGGATGGGCTTGGCTGAGAAACCCTAGCACAGGGCCCAGCTCCTCAAGGACAAACTGAGACCCTTGGCATCCCGCGTGGGCCCTCCCCAGATAGAAATGGGAAGATAAGACGTCCACAAGGCTTTTGGAATGGAAGATGCTGGGCGAGGAATAACAAAATAAAGACAATTGTGTTAAGAGTGCCTTACATACTGTAGTCTTCTATCCTCACGGGAGCCTGACAATTATCATCCCCATTTTACAGATGGACACAAAAAGGCTTACAGGAATTTAACTCTCAGCTAAGTAAGTGGCAGAGTCAGCCTTCAAACCCAGGCCCTCTAACTCCCAAACTGGTCAGCGAACCACCCAGCTATTCAGACCCGAAAGGCAAGATCTTTAATGGGGGGAGTTGGCTATGCGTGGGGGATGGAACCGCCTCAAAAGTGGCAGAAGCAGGAATCTCGCCTTGTTCCATTCCAGGGCCTCGGAAACTTGTTTTAACCGCCCCCACTTCCTGCCCACAGAGGCACCAGCCTAGACTACCCTAGGATTCTACTTTGGTCTGTGACTTGGTCTCCGGAACCAGCTGGACGCAGATTGCCCAAAGGGGCAAGACGACAGCAGAGGGGGTAAGTGGGCCTACAAGGCTGCCTCTGGGGGCCTCAGTTTCCTCACCGCCAGCTAGGCAGCTTGGGAGGGGGCAGAAAGCCCCGACTGGACTCCCTTCCCGCCCCGGCCGGGCCCCTCACCCAAGCAGCGGTTCCTTGTGAAGAGTCCCCGGAAGACTTCGCACTCCTCGCGCCGGTTTCCGCTGGCTCCGCAGTCGCACCAGGGCGCCACGCGCGCGCTTGCGTTGTCCACGTAGTTGGGGGTGACGGCGGTGCCTGCCGAGACCCCGAAAGCAGGATAATCGGCCCACCCGAATAGAGGCATTCCCAGGAGAGCCCCCGCCCCAGCAGGGATCTGGGCGGTGCATACCCACGAGGCTGGCGTAGGCGCGCAGGCAGCTGGGCACCTGGTCTCGAAGGCAGCCGTCCAGGTCGCTGGGGGAAGGCGCGCAGGAGGCCTGGAAGGCCAAGAGGCGGGGCCTGCGCGGGGCGGTCGGAAGGCGGAGAGTGGGAGGTAAGTGGGAGCTGCCCCCCGCCCGCCAGCCCCGCCCCCTCCCTCTACTCCACTTCCTTCAGCACCTGCAGACGCGGCTGTGCTCGCAGGCGTCTAAGGGCGCGAGGCAGGAGGGCGGGGCCGGTTCAGGACCCGAGAAGGCGCAGGAGGGCACGAAGGTCTGGCGCCGGCGCTCGGCGCATGCGGCGCCGCCGCACGGGCAGAAGAGCAGCGCGTGGGTAAGCTCGGGCGGCCCGCGGGCGAAGAAGCGGCGCAGGGCGCGGCGGCAGCGGGCGCGGGGGCAGCTCCCCGGCGCGGCCCGACCCAGGCACTGCACCACGTACGCGGTGCGCAACCGCTGGCATCGCGCATCCGCGGTGCACGCGTCGGCCGCGTCCACGCATCGGTTCGGTGCGACAGCGCTCGGTGACCCTGGTGGAGCGGCGGGCAGGCTGTGGTTGTTGACGTTCCTTACACACACACACTTCACCTCCGCCTCCCAGTCAGGGTCTCCGAAGATGCGGGGTGCTCAAAACTCGAGGTGGGCAGAATGTGATCCGAATGCCTGAGCGACTGGTACTGACTGACCTTCCGTTGTGGAGTTGGGCAGTGGCGGGGTCAGGGATTTCCTGCAGCACGTCTGGGGTGGATGGGGCGCGTCGAGGCTGGGCCTGGCCTTCCGCAGAAGCTGAGGCCCACCCTCCGCAGGCACCACCCCTCACCCATCCAAAGAGGGGTCCATGAGATTCCTCTCATTTTCCTGGGCCCCATCTGACACGGAAAACAGCAAGGCTTCTGGGGACCTGGCTCATGGAGACTTAGCAGAAATGGTGCTGAGGACAGTGGCCGCTCCTCTTCCGCTCTGACATGCCGGGATGCCTGACCTTTCTTCCTTTCCTCTCCTTGCCCCTCCCCCTTGGAGACCCTGAGTGGCCCGTAGGTTTTGGGTTCTCCTTTCTTCTTGACCTTCTCTTGTGCCTCCTCCTGCCCCCTGCCGCTGCGTCTTCCCCCTCCATCCTCTTCTGTTGCTCCCTCCTCACCCATCTAACTGGTTCTGCCACATCTGGATGGACTCTGTTTTCCCCCTGGGCTCTCCACTCTCCACCAGCCAGATAAAAAGATTCCCCACTAGGGCTCTGGGCACTGGAGCAATTTAGGCCTGGCTGCCAGGGTGTGGATTCAAGAGAAGTCCCAGATGGCAGGCCACAGGGCTCTGTCCTTAGCCACAGGGCACTCCACTGGGGGCAGAGAGTGTGCCTGGCACAGCCCAGTCACACACCAGGGGTCTGTTGGGCAGAGGGTGAGCTTTATCCAGAAGTGCCATGGTTCACATCTAAATCCAGCCAAGCTAGGGTCTCTGGAGGTCAGAACTTGGCAGCCCCTTCCTAGGACCTCAGTCACAAAACAAGGCTACCCCTGCCCCTCGGTGCTCTCAGCCTCCAGGAACCTTGCTCAGGTGAGAAGCCTCTGGCACCAAAGTTTGAGGGAAGTTTCCCAACCTGGTTCAACACCCATCTCGCTGTGTGTGTGTGGCCGGGGGGGCACTGGCCATCTCTTTTGGGTGGTTGTGGAAGAAGGTAGAATAGACACTGAGGGCTTGAAATAGGTCTGTAAGTGGACGGGATGGACAGGAGAGGGGGAAGCCTTTCCTTTCTCTCTCCTTTCCTCCCCTCCAGTCTCCTTCCCTCCCTTCCAGGACTCCAGAGCAGCAGGCAAACTTTGCCCTTCTCTCCCAGCCAAGCCCTCACATCCCCAGGCTGCAGCCACACACAGCAGCACCTAGTGTCTCCTGAGATCTTGGTCCCACTTCTGTTCCTTTGCTTACCTGTTTCCCTCCACCAGGAGCACCCTTACTTCATCTTCACCCTCAAAACAGCACATCTCAGCTCCAAGATCTCCTCTGCCTTAAACGTTTGCCAGATTCCTTTCTCCTCAACCTACACCACCTGGTAAAGTGACCCCTCCCTCCATGATGACCCAGGTGGGGAAGGGGTAGTCCAAGCAGGTGGAACAGCAGATGCATGGCATGGAGACACTGAAGATGCAGGGCAAGGAATCAATGTGAAGCTGCAAGACTGAAGGTGGAGGGCTGGGGCTGGGGGAAGGGTAATAGAGGCGGGAGAGCAGGCAATAGGAAAAAGAAAGTTTCTGGGGCAGAGCTACCAAGGGGAGACTTGGGAGACTTAGGAGGCCGTGGCTCTGTGGGACCCAAAAGCTGGAGGCGGGGTGCTGTGTCCCCACACCTTGAGCACAGGTGTCTCACTGGTGCCCCTTCCTGCATTTCAGCTTTTCCTAGAATCACCTTCTTGCCTTGTGCTTGAGGAGGGAAGAGGATCAGGGACAGAGAAGCCAAGGTTCAGAGGTCTGGGGGAGGAGGCAGCCACTCACCTAGAAGCAGTAGCAGCAGCAACGCGGGTGCCAAGCAGCTGGCCATGCTGGGCAGCAAACAAAGAACAGGACGACCAGAGGCAGAGCCCCAGTCAGACAGGTGCCTCCTTCCCAGGGCCCCTGAGCCATAACGAGATGGAAACCCAAGTGTCTGTGCTGACGCGCTCTTCTGGGGGGGAGGAGCCTTTGCATCAGGAATGACTCCCCGCCGCCAATGAGTCCCCACCCAGGCTGCGCCTTCACACAGATCTGGGAGCCACTGAGTCCGGGGCCAGAATGTGCCTAGATGGATCCCACCACACCCCCCAACACACACACAGCAACGCCCACACAACAACCCAAGGAGACCTTGTCTCTCCCACGCTAAACCATTAACTCTATGAAACAACACTGTTCTTTTCCGTCTCTTATAGTTTTATTGTTAACTTTTTATTAGCTAATTTTAGACTTGCAGAAAAGTTAGAGCATTGCAAAAATGCTAGCGTTCCCTTTATATCCCTCACCCAGTTTCCCCTAACATCAACATCTTACCTGACCATAGTACAATTATTAAAACTAGGAAATTCATGTTGGTACGAGACACTTAACTATAGACCACTTTGAATTTCCCCAGTCTTTCCACTAATGTTCTTTTTCTGTTCCAGGATCCCATCCAGCATCCCACATTGCACTTAGTGGTCATGTCACCTTAGTTTCTTCCAATCTGTGGTAGTTCCTCAGTCTCTCCTTACAAACTGGGTGCTTCCCTATGTGGCCCTGCACAGTGGGCAGTCCCCCTTCTCGAGGGAAATGCAAGCCATAAAAACTTCTTTCAGTGGCATTAACTTCTCTGTCTCATTGCTGTGTCATCTCTATAAATCAGAATCCCACAGCGAACACAGGAGTGGGCTTTAGCAAACAGTCTCATTCAGCGCCTTCAGCTGGTAGAGTGAAAGCAAGGCCTGAGCCTTGGGGCTACTTCTCTGCTGCCAGTGGGTGATTGCAAAAATTCCCCAGTTCTTCACACCCTATGAAATATGATTTTGCTGCTCCTCCCTGGAGGGGAGGTGGGGTTTGCCTCCCAATCCCTGGAACCTGGGCCGGACCTGTGACTTGCTTGGGCCAACAGAATGTTACGGAAGTAAACGTGCCAGTCATGGACTCTCAAGAAGCCTGACACACACACTCTTCTGCAAGAGGAGGTGAGTGAGGTACTTGCCTCAGGATCACAACTACTGATTTTTCTTTTTGCCTCAGGCTCCAAAAATGCCTTGGTATGGTAACTGATCCTGTCTTTAGTTAAATTTTTGATATTTTGTTCATCGTGGACTTTTGTATTAATTTTGATCTTTAAAAATATTACATTAAAATATTTCTTATCTTGATTACTTTTTGTGTCCACGGTGAATGCCTCCCTTGTCTCACTCTAATCCTGGTCCTGCTCGCTTAGAACCCTCCCCAGCTGTTATGTGAACAGGCCTGGGCTAGCCCGCTCATCCCCATCACCCTAGCCAACAGCCAGCCAACCCCAGAAGCATCGACCAGCAGTTGACTGCAAATGTGTAAGTGAGCTGAGCTGAGACCAGTCGAACCACCAGCTGACTTGCCAATTCACAGTATTGGTTATTGTTTTAAGCTACTAAGTTTTGGGGTGATCTTGTTATGTAGCAACAGCTAGCTGATAAAGAAGGTCACTCAGCAACTTTTGCATGAAGCAAGGGGAGAGAGTAAATGGCTGCTGAGAGTGTCCAGGGGAGGCAGGAGAGGTGGGGCAAAGGGAACATTCAAGCTAGGCAACACCATCCTATGCCCCGATACATACGGGGCCTGGCTGTCATCTGAGGCTCCACCTACCAGCCACCACCCTTTGTCCCCCTCAGGGTGTTGAATTTACAGACAGAAAAGAAGTCCCAGGGCAACATGTCTTTCTTCTGACTTTTACTTTGGTGTCCTTTCGAAAATGGCTTCCTTTGTCCCCTCCCATGGAATGGAGGAGAGGCTGATTAATGTCCAAAGTAAGGGGACTGCAGCAGGCCCCATGCTTCTCTGAAACCTCACCTAAGGACTAGGAGTGGGGTGGGGCTGATGAAGCATCTGAGGGACAAGAGAGGGTAGGAGATGGCAGGAAGGAAGGTCCCAAGGATTTTGTTTGTTTTGCAGGGTCCAGGCTCCAGGGAAGTGGACTCAGTCTGAAATGTAGGACCCCTGGAGTCCAGGCTTCTATCCCAGCAGTCACTGCCCTCCAACGAGCTAGGTCGGAATAAAGTGAGTGTAGCGGACACACCTAGGCTGCCTGGACATAGGCCTCTCTGGGTGCCCAGCATGACCCAGCGCCCCCTAGTGACGGGAGGTCAGTGACTACATGACCTTCCCTCCTGGGACTGATGGATTCTCCCTTGAGCTGGAGGGTGTACCCTAGCAGGATCCCGCAGCCCTAAGGAATGGGGACAGCACTGAGCAAATTTTGATGAGGCTCCGGGGTCCTGGAGTAGGTGGTGTGGCGGTAACTCAGGGAAGAAATTTCCAAGCTGCCTGAAGGTGCAAGAGGTCTGCTGACTCGCTGGCTCTGCCCCTGGGGGGCGGGGTCCAAGTTCCTGGTGTGGCTGTCAGTAGCCACCTGTCCTTAAGTCTTCTCGTCCCAGGAGTCACTTTTCACCAGAGACAGGATCTTGGCTTTTGGACTCTACCTGCTGAGAATGACATGGGGGAGGGTCATCCCCTGAGAGCTGGGACCCCAGGCTGCAAGTCATGCGTCAGGGACCCCCTGTCCTCCCTCAGGGAAAACCAGTGACCCAGGAAGAGCCAGAACTTCTTCCTCCCCTGCCCCAGGGGCCTCCAGCATCTGGCCCCAGACAACAGCTCCACGAGGTCTGTCTCATTCCCATACTATAAGCTCAAAAACCTCAGAGTGGGACTTCCCTGGTGGTCCAGTGGCTAAGACTGCACTCCCAATGCAGGGGGCCCTGGTTTGCTCCCTGGTCGGGGAACTAGATCCCACAAGCCGCAACTAAGAGTTCACATGCTGCAAATAAAGATCCCACGTGCCACAACAAAGATCCTGCATGTCGCAACTAAGACCCAATGCAGCCAAATAAATATTTTTTTAAAAACTCAGAGTAAGGGACTGTGAGATGAGGGGCAAGAGGTGGATGGGTGAGCAATGGGAAGTGGAGGGCCCCACCTACCTTGGGGGTACAAGTGTGGGGCACAGGCTTCTCAAGGTGGCTGTTGGGCTCTGACAGAGTTCTCAAGGTCTGTGGAGCAATAGGTGGGGAAAGAGCGCTGTGAACATAGGTGGCAAGAGTCCCTGATGCAGGGTGGGGCACAGGGGCTCAAGGTGGCTGGGTGATAAGTGGAGAGGAGGGGGCCCATCTGGAAGGAGGCAGAAGACAAGAGCCCGTCCCTTTCCTTCCCTCCCCATCTCCCACTGTGCCTCACGCACCCCGGGGCTGGGGCTCTGCAGTGGCTGTCAGGCCCAACTCCATTGTGTGAACACTGCCTAGAGGGTGGCCCCTGCATGGGCCATCTTTGGGTCTGAGCAGTGGATGAGAGGCCAGGAGATTGAGACACTGACCATTAGTAGGGCACCCTGGGGCTTCTTCCCTGCAGCCAGAGGCTTGCACCCAGGTTGTTCTGTCCAGCTCACTTCCTGCTCCCTCCTGAGAGGAGCCCTTGGGGTCCAGGCTCCAGTTGAGACTCATGCTTTCCCAGGGCCTCTGACACTTCCTCTCTGCAGCCCTGATATTTCTTCTAAGCTCTGGAACCACCCCAGCATCCTCCAGATGTTGGCATCACTCAGGTCCCAAAGAGGGGCAGACTTCCTTCCCCAGTGGTACCTGTATTTGTGCTCCTTGTCATTGGGTGGCCCTGCTGCCCTCGATGACTCTAAGCTATGCTCAGCTGCTCACTCCCCATCTCCCAGGGCCTTACCACTTCCTTTTTTTTTTTTTTTTTTTTTTTTTTTTGTTTAAAGTGATTATTGAAAATGATTAGGCTTAAATCTATTTGTTTTCTTTCTGTCCCATTGTTTCTTTTTTTTCCATTTTTGTTCTCTTTCTGCCTTCTTTTGGAATATTTGAATATTGTTTATGATCTCATTGTAGTTTTAATCCCTACAAGTTGGATTTGGATTTTTTAAAAATATCACTTATCTTTATACATAACCTGTTGAACATATGGTTATGTATAAACATGGACATAGAGTTATAACAATTTTTAATGACGTTTCTGCTAATTCTAGGATCAGTGTCTGTTTTGGGTCAGTTTTGATTGATTTTTTCTTTCTATATGGGTTGTATTTCATTGTTTCTTTTTATGCCCAAAACCTCTTCATTGAACATCTAGCATTGCAAATTTTACCTTGCTGGATATTTTTGCATTTCTTTGTATTTTCCTGAGTTTTGTTCTGGACACAGGTGAGTAATGTGGAAACAGTTTGATCCTTTAAGGTCTTACTTTTAAGTTTGTTAGATGGGACCCAGGCAGTGCTCAATTTAGGGCTAATCATTTTCTACTACTGGACCAAGTCTGTTCAGAATACTTTTGCCAATTTCCCATGCATCATGAGGTTTTTCAGTCTGGTTGGTGAAAACTGACACTTTTCCTGTTTATATGTGAGTGCCAGGCACTGTTTTAGCTCTGATTTCTTTTAGACAGTTAATTCCCCTGTCTTCATTAATTTTCTCACACATATGTGCTGATCAGTACTCAGCTGGATACTCAAAGGAAATCCTCTGCAGATCTCCCACGTTCTCTCTATGCAGTGTAGTCCACTCCAGTGTTTCTTCTGTGAAATTTAGCTTCCTTCTTCCCAGATGCTCAACTCCATCTCCTCAACTCAGAGACTTCTCTGAGTTTTGTCTGATCCTTTCCCCCCACCAGCACAAGCAGCCTCCAAAGCTGGAGAGCCGGGACACTCTTCCAAGGCTCAGAGCACCGTAGAGATCACTTTGTTTGTCTTCCTCTTTTCAGGGACTATTGTCCTTTGTTACCTGATATTAAATGTTTTGAAAACTTGTTCCATGTATTTTGTCTATTTTGGGGATGTTCCAGGTATCCCATTCTGTCTGAACCTTGGTTTTGAATATCAAATGTGTTTTGTTCTCCAGCAAATTTCAAGGAACCCTGGGTGATACTGGAACTTGATCTCATGTTATAAGCAGAAGCTCCCTTCACACCTGAAACTTCTTCCCATGCCGCTAGAATACATGAGTCACCTCTGCTATCTGAATACAAGAATGGGGAGGTGGCAGGCGGACTCTCAACCACTGCGCCACCAGGGAAGCCCCTTACCACTTCCTTTGATGTCTCTTTGAAACAGTCTCAATACTTCACCTGGCTGATGACATGCGTTTGCTGCCCGCCCTGTAAGCCCCCAGTGATGACACACCAAGCTCTGACCACCTTGATCCTCTGCTCACAGACCCACAATCAACACTAATTGTGTCAAGGCCCTCTCAGCCGGTGCCCTGCCCCTGTTTGAGATGCCCTCTTCCTCCATCTCCAGCCCAAACTTTGCCCTCTCCCTCAGCTTGCCCAGAATGCTCCCAAGGCTAGGCTGTGTCAGATGTGGTCATAGGGCTCATGCCTTGCCCAGCGCCCAGTGAAGGGGCAGCCCTAGACTGACTGTGCTTGGTATCATGTGAACCTCATCCCAGGTCGTGGAGAACTGGGTTAGGGGCAGGCCCTTGGCACAAGGGCAGCCAGCACCATAGCTGCCCAGTGGTAGCGAAAGGAAAGATGTGCTGGGCCCAGCATTTGGGAACTTGAAGCGGGTAACAGCAGAGATTTAGGCAGAGGAAATGCCAGAAGGCTGAATGCTCGTGAGAGAGAAGCTGGAGAGGCCTTGAAGGGTACATTGGAGCAGGAATTGCATTATAAGCTGGTGAAAAAACAGGGCAAAGTCAAGGATGAGTCAGCCTCTTGGTGGGAGAAAAGATATGGACAAGAGGTACTGAATCACAGAAATGGGGGCCAGGGTAGAGGGCCCTGCATGGATCCACGCCTTTGGCTTCACTGGAAGGCCACTGGGGCCTTCTGCTCAATGCTTCTTTCCATTGCCTTTGCCTGCCTCTCTGCACCTGGGGGCAAGGCCTGAGGACCCCACCCCAGCTGCCCCAGGTCCAGCAGAGCTCTGAGGAGCAGGAACCAAAGGAGTGGGCTCAGGAAGCAGGAACCTTAGCCCTCAGTGCCTACCCACTGCACATGGGGTCCCTCCTTGAACCCCAAAGCCATTGTTGGAGACGGAGTTCCGGGTGCCGGCAGCAGCACCAGGCCAGGCCAGCCCCAGGGAGCAGAGGCAGCAGAAAACTAAGGATCACCGCCAGTGTGAAGGTGTCCTGGTCTGCAGAGGACAGGGTATGGCTGAGTCCTGAGGTGCATCACAGGGGCCCTCCCCACTTGCCCCCCATGGACGCACTTTCAGGCTGCATAGGACCACTGTCCACACTACCACCAAACCCTGGCTTGTCACAGAAAGGCGGAGCCCAGCCCAGAGCACAGTGGCAATTACGGTTACTATTGCAAACCTGCAGTGGAAAAGAGAAACGGAGGGTCCCATGAGATCAGGGACTTCCAAGGTCACCCCACACACACCTTTCAGGCCACTCACCCCGTGACCATGGCAGGCAGTCAGGCAGAGCTCCAGCTCTCGGAAGGTAGTGTTCTGGCAGCGTCTTTCCTGGCACACCTATGGGCAGTGTGTGCACTGGGCAGTGAGGGGGAGTGATGCTTTGGCCTGCAGGACTCAAGTGGCAGGGAGGGGTTGGGTGGGCAGGGCTCACCATTCTAGGTCCACACTGGGTGCCTGACTCTACCAGGCCCAAATCAGGCAGGTCCAGCTGGGTGCCGGGCAACACGAGGGCTCCCTTGCAGGTCACCTGGCGGCTGCCTAGGGGTACGGTGGAGTCCACCGGCACCATGTGTGGCGCCAGTGCGCTCTGCTCCCCGCCCTGGCACTGCAGTTTCCCACACTGCGCATCGCTAGGGACGAAGTGCAGGGTAGTCAAACAGCGTGGAGTTTCTCCATACCCTCTTCTCCAGCTTCCCCTCCCTCTGCTCCCCACCTCTGCGCACAGGGCACGAAGCTGCTGTCGCTTTGCTGGCCGCAGTTCCCGTGGGCGTCTCCCGCAGAGTTCACAACCTGGAAACAAGCCTCCGGGGCTGGGCGGGAGCCTGAAGAAGCATGGGCGGGACTGGGGGTGTCAGCCCAGACCTGAACCACGCCCCTTCTGCCTCAGTTTACCCCCGCCCACCTCCCCCTAGAACATTAAGCTGAGCAGACCCGAGGATGTGGGCGGAGGGCGCGCTCTTGGTCTCACCAGGCCCCCAGAGCTGCTGGCACTGATGCTCCAGCGTGGGACACGCGCCGTCCCGGCAGTAGCCGCGGCCTCTGGCGCAGGGCGAGCCGTCCAGTAGGTAAATGTCGGGGGGGCAATAGGGGGAGGCGCCCGTGCAGAATTCAGGGAGGTCACAGTCGCCCGCAGACCGGCGGCAAGGCGCACCCGCCGGCTTCAGCTACGCAGGTGACCCGGGTGGAGGGAAGGCGGCGAGGCATACAGAGAAAACGAACAGTTAGAGATCCACTTCGAGAGCGCCAATCGGACACGAGAGAGCCCTGTGGGGAGGTCCAGGCGAACCCACGCACAGAGCACAGCCAGCACCCGCAAGGGGGACCGGAGGGCGCCGGTTAGCCGAGACCAACAGGCCGGCTCCCAAGTGCCCCCAACCCTCACCCCCGAGCCTCCCATACCCTCACCAGGCAGTGTGCGCAGCAGTCCCCGTGGGTGCACTGGGCCCCCTCACGCAGCGAGCAGTTGTGGGCATGGCAGCAGGAGTCCGGGCACTCCTGGAGCCGGAAAGGCGAGGAGGGACCAGGTGAGGGTGCAGCGCCCAGACCTCCAGGGAGGGGCCAGGCGGGGACCAGCTTGGTCCCTCGGGGATGGTCGTGCGGACCTGACCTGGCCGGCGCCGCAGTCGCACTCCTCGCCCTCTTCCACGAAGCCATTCCCGCAGTGCGCCCGGGGCACTAGGAGCCCGGAGTCCGGCGCGTTGGAGAGGCACGCGCCCCCTCCCTTGCTGAAGAAGGCGCGCAGCTGGCGGCGGCTGCAGGCGCTAAACACTCGCGGGAACGGGTGCCTACGGGCGGGGGAGGGCGTCGGGCGTACGGGGACCACCCCCTGCCAACCCCTGCTCGTCTCCAATCCCCTCCCCCCGGCACACAGGTGCTTGGCTACGCAGCCGCCGGATGCGCGAACACCGCCTGAGCAACTGGCGGCTAGAATTCTCTAGAGGCAGAGCCCAGAGAGGGTAAGTAACTCGCGCAAAGTCACACGAAGAGCGCGAGGCAGGAGGGTGTGACGCCAAGAGCGAGCAGCCCAGGACCCAAGGTCGAATCCCAACCCAGCGCCGCTCCTCCCGGCGTTGCAGTCACCTCGCAAGTTTGTCCGAAAATAATTTATCATATCATGAGAATCCACTTTGCCTGCGTTCCCT